TCTCAGATGCATCATTGCATTTTGACGTCCTGTAGTGTTTAGTGTTCCACAGTGTATGGACCATGGTTTGTGGATCTTTTCCTCCGTTGATGGGCATGTAGATTGTTTCCATTTTTTTGCTATTGTGAATAGTGCTTCAGTGATCTTAGGTGTGCACATCTCTGTTCGTGCCATGGCTCTTATTTCTCTGATATGGACCTAGTAGTGGGATTGCTGGATCATGTGGTATTTCTATTTCCAGCTTTGTAAGGAAGCGCCATACCATTTTCCACAGTGGATGTACCTTTTTACAATCCCACCAGCAATGTACGCGGGTTTCAGTCTCTCCACACCCTCACCAGCATTTCGCATTTTCTTAATTTTGATTTTTGATTATTTAGCAATTAGTGCGCAGGCGTCTGAGGCTGTCCTGTTAGACTCCCATAAACCTTTGCAAATTCACATCCATGTGGCTGTGGGGAAGCTTGCTGGGCCCTGATTCCCAGGGCCTCACAGGCAGGTGGAGGTGCTGTGGGAACTTCAGCCCAGCACACTGGCTAGTGTGGGCTCGGAGCAGAGGGAGGAGCACACATGTGGGTGATGCTGCCTCTGGTGTCGCTGCAGGGTCACTTGGCAGCTGTTTTCTTACAGGGGCGTGCGGGGGAGGGGGCTGGCCCGGAAGGGGCAGTGCTGTACCACGTAGAGGGAGGAGCTTGGACTTTGGTACCCAGACTTCTGTATTCGGCTTCATCCCTTGCCAGCTGTGTGACCATGGGCAATGCACTGACATTCCTTACTGGAAAACAAGGATAGACATTATCACGCAGCCTCTATAGGGTGGCCGGGAGGGTCAAGTGTGGGATACAAGTAACACTGTAGTGAAATGCCCGTCACGGGCTAAGTGCTGGTCAACAGCTGAGCTTGGATGCACTGTGTGTTTGGGGACTGAAGTGACCTGTGTCCGGAGCACAGGATGGAGCAGCTAGGATCAACCGAGGACCTGGGGGTGGTGCACGCACCCAGCATTGCCGGGCAGCCAGGCACTGCTCTGCTGCTTCATGGGCATGGTCGGCCCAGACACGCGCCGTCCCATTTCATAGACGAGGAAATGGGGCACAGAGAAGTTACCCACCTTGCCCGAGGTCACACAACAAATGGTGACGGAGTCAGGAGTCAGAAAAGTGGAAGGAAGTGGAAGGAAGAAGTAGGTGGGCACCAAGTTCTGGGTGGGAGTGAAGTCAGTCATTTTCTAACCACTGCTGAAATAAATAAGAGTTGTAAATGTTGATACAGATTTGATACAATATTTATTTTTATTATAGAGGACGTTGGTGATGAAGGAGAAGAGGAGAAAGAATTCATTTCCTATAACATCAACATAGACATTCATTATGGGGTTAAGTCCAACAGGTGAGTCGTGGCGATAGGGGCCTGGAGACGAAGAATTTGTGGGAATTCAATGTGACTCCTGAGAGAACAGCAAACATTCTAAGAAGATTGTTTTCAGCTGTTTATATTCAGTATCTTATCTCTGATTTCACGTGTTCAAAATAAGATGATTCCTAAGTCGGTATCAATTCAAAAGTATATGTTTGTTTGAATGGCTGTCACGGTGTCCATCTTACACTTGAGCTGTGCTGTCCTTAGCCTAACCTGTCTACAGGTTGCGTCTGACTTTTTGTTATCGTAAGTTGCTAGCTCACATTGCTACGTGCAGGTATCCCGATTTGTCTCAGGGGAAATCCTCCTGATAGCGTGACTGGCTCAGAGGGAGTTCATCACTGAGGTCTCATGCATGTCACCAGGTTTCCCACTTTCCTGAAAAGTGCCAGTTTACACGCCAGCAGACGTGTCCTAATTTAAACATATCAGTACTATCATTGATCCTGTGTTGACTTCTTAAAACTCTTATTCTGAATAATTTCAGGTATACAGAGGAGTTGCCTGAAATAGTACATAAACTCCCAGTAACCTTCCCTCAGCTCTGTCCCTCATTAACATTTTGCCCTGTTTCCATGATTACTGTGGGCATACGGAAAACATGCCGGTTTTGGTTACCTTGTGTTGCTCTAACAGAAGATACCACGAATGGGATGGCTTGAACAAACAGGAGTTTATACTCATACAATTTGGAGGCTTTAAGTCCAAGTTCAAAGTGTCAGGCTCTAGGGGCTGGATGAAAGAAAGCCCCTCAACCTTTGGCTTCAGCTCTGCCTCCTGCTCCCGGCCCGCTGGAGCTAGAGGCTTTTCTTCACTCAGACAGCTGCTGGCTGCTGAGACTGACAAGCCCAAGGCTGACAAGTAAAAAGGCTCAGTTCCAATGTTACTAAACCACACGGCAGGCCATTAATTGAAGTCCATTGAAAGTCCCAAGGTCGGCAGAGCATGGCAGGCTGCTGAACAATGACGTGGCTACATGCAGAATTCAAGCGTGCCATAAGCTAGAGACTGTTCCCCAAGGCTTCTCCTTATATACAGGAAGCAGACCACATCCCTAAGGCATCTACTCAGCTGCCCACAGTAGATTCCACCATGGAGTTGTAATTTACTGGTGTCATCATGGGGAATACTACATCCAGCTGCCCAGCCAGGTTGACACACAAACTTAACTACCACAATGCCCCTTCCCCCTTCAGCGTTGCAATGTGTATTTCCTAAGAACAAGGAGATTCTTGTTCATAACTTCAGTGTAATTGTTGGATTCAGGAAATGTAAAATTGGTACAATAGCATTACCTAATTACAGTGCATATGCAAAGTTTGTAGTAATCTTTCCGATCCAGGATCCAGGCCCGGGTCACGTGCTGCACGTGTTTTCCTGTCTCTGCTCACCTTTCATCAGGAGTAGCACTTAGCCTCTCAGTGCCTTTCATGTGACTGACGTCTGAGGACAGGCCAGTGGTGTTGTGGAGCATCCCTTAGTCAAGTTGATCTGCTGGTTCCCTGTGGTTGGGTGCAGGGTAGATGTTTCTGGCAGGAATACTGGGGTGACTTTGTTCTTTCTTGGTGTCTCACGCCGGGAAGCCTCCTTGACTTTTTGGAGTAATGTGAGATGTTCTGTGTAAAGTCCTGGGCTGGGAACCGGACAGCACACACAGCGCTGGAAGCTGTCGGTTTGGCGGCTGGTCCATACAGGGTGTGGCAGTAAGTGGAGAGGCGTGCTGGAGGTCAGACCGGCTCTGGTCACAGGAAGCTTGTGATCTTTTGGGAGGAAGAGAGACAGGTACACAGCCAATGCTAGGATACTTGGCATGATCTTAGGGTGCAAGTTTCCATGGAAACGTGGGGAACTGAGAGATTGATGTGGAGGAGGCCGTTGGGGGTAGGGCTTTGAGGGTTGCCTAGAGTGGCAGCAGGTGAAGACACATCTTGGCAAACGCACGTGATGCATTTGGGGAGTGGACGTCTCGGGGTTGGGAAGAGGGTGCGCAGTAGGAAATGGAACCGGAAGAGCCTGTAGTTGGTCTTGGCAAGGTTGTGAGACCCTGGAGTGCCCTCTCGTCACTGTAACCTGTGGCGAATCTTATTCAAGCTGATCTACCCCTCAATGCCGGCACTGAATGGTGCAAATTAGTACCAGATCATAGTGAAGCAGGTAATGGCTTGCTAGCTTATGGTGGTTAGTGCAAGCTAGTCACAGTGAGGCACTCCTAAGTCGTCTGTGAGACAAGTTCCCATTGCTTGGCTTCATGGCAACAAGCTGTGAGCCTGATCTTAACTCACTAGTGCTTACCTAAGTGAATGGAAAAAGAGCAGCAGTGCATTTCACTATTAGAAAAGCAGTTGTTTGAACTATTCTTTTTGTATGTGTATGTGATTTGGGTAAAAGTTTTCAGAGCAAATTCACTCTCCATACAGCACTTCCTGTACACTTTGTCTCAGGACATTGACTATAATTGCCCACAATGCAACAGCCCCCCTTCCACTTCCTCCCCATAGTTACCTCTTCCGGTGTCCTTCTCTCCATGCACTCCTGCCCCTCCCCTAGCTGTCTCCCTGAGCATACACAGCCCTTCTATTCTCCCATGATTGATCTCTCCAAGGAGTGTATCTACCTAATGTAAATGTTCAGCTCATATGCCTGTCTTTTGTTTGACTGGAAGCCACGGGTGGGTTCAATTCCAGACCTGAAGGGCAGCTAGGGGCCATAGTCTTGGTGGCTCCATCAGGCTTCATCAGACCAGCAGACCTGGTGTTTGAACTATTCTTAATTTGAGTTTTAAATTGAAGCATTCAGATGAACTCGGTTTATACCTGATGTCAGGAAGGCTGCAGTTGATGCTGATTAGGATGAGACTCTGCCTCCTGAGCTCTGTTGCTTGCTTCTTAGCTTGGCCTTCATTAAACGGACCCCCGTGATCGATGCAGACAAACCAGTGTCGTCTCAGCTCCGGGTCCTCACCCTCAGCGAAGACTCGCCGTACGAAACGTTGCATTCTTTCATCTGCAATGCCGTGGCTCCTTTCTTTAAGTCCTACATCAGAGAGTCTGGCAAGGCAGACAGGTAAAAGCCATTTTCCTTGGTCGGTCTGAATGTCATATTTCACTTAATGCTCCCAAGACTTCAGGGGAGATGATGTAGAATTCAGGTTGGAGAGGGTGGAGCTAGTAACCCGGAGGACATGAATCCTGTGTTTTCATAACTAAGTATACTGTCAATGTTTGTTGATCCTGGAATACTGGGATCTCTGTGGAGACTGAGCTCATGCTAACTCTGAGGTGTTTCACACTTTTTAGGGATGGTGATAAAATGGCTCCATCAGTGGAGAAGAAGATTGCAGAGCTTGAAATGGGGCTCCTTCACCTGCAGCAGAATATTGAGATTCCAGAGATCAGCCTGCCCATCCACCCGATTATTACCAATGTGGCAAAACAGTGCTATGAGCGGGGAGAAAAGCCCAAAGTGACTGACTTTGGAGAGAAGGTTGAAGACCCAACTTTTCTCAATCAGTTGCAGTCTGGAGTTAACCGCTGGATCCGGGAAATCCAAAAGGTGAGAGAGCACAGTGCTGAAAACACGCAGGATGCTTGAGTGTCCATGTGGGAAAACTGGGCCACGGTTTGTCCGTGAAGTGAACTACGATAACTTGTTGGTGGTGCCTGCTCTTGGCCTGTGAGTGCTGGGCAGAGGACTGATGCTGGTCTGGGCAGGGTGGCCGGGCACAACCTGAGATTGTGTAGAATGGACCCAGAGAGAGTGCTAATATTGGTTGACCTTTGACGTCAGATCAAACCCACTTTAATTTGAGAGAAGGCAATCCACTTGCACCCGGGAAGGCTGTGACACCTGTATCTGTTAGTGATGCCCTTCTTGTCTGTGCACAAATACTCAATACCCGTCAACACTGTTGTGTCTGTAAAGGTGACCAAACTCGATCGAGATCCTGCGTCAGGAACTGCCCTGCAGGAAATCAGTTTCTGGCTGAACTTGGAGCGTGCGCTGTACCGCATCCAGGAGAAGCGGGAGAGCCCCGAGGTCCTCCTCACCCTGGATATCTTGAAGCACGGCAAGCGCTTCCATGCCACAGTCAGCTTTGATACCGACACAGGTGGGAGCCCGCGCCGACGCGCAGACCCCTCGCTGTCCAGCTGGCCTTTGAGGATGGAGATGAGGGCTCACGGACACACCATCTCTCCTGCCTCTGTCCTCTCTTGCCCCTTGCCACGTCTTTCCTTCTGTTTTAGATAATGAGAGCGATTTCCCCACATCCCTGCTTCTTGTCTCTTCAGGGGTTTCCAGAACAGAAACTGGGGACCAGGCACGAGCCTGGCAGCCCTGGGAGTTTCCTCCTGTTTGCTGCCTTCTGGGCCCTGGCATGGGCTATGCTTTGGTCTGAAGCCGTTTGTGCTTGCACAGGTCTGGCAGGCAGATGGTTTCATTTAAGCGGAAGGAATGTGCCCAGGTGGCTGTGGGAGGGGGCCGGCCAGCACTCCAGACTGTCCCTCCACCTGCCACCTGCTCCTGGCCCTCTTCCCTGCCTTGTTCCTTGTTGGATTAGTGGTCAGAATCACTTCCCTCTGAACAGGGTGGGGCATGTGGCGCTGCCTTAGCACACAGGCTCACAGGCGTGTGCATGGCCAGGCGCTGCCGCACAGCTCGGCTCGCAAGAAACGTGTAAGAGTCCCAGGCACCTTTTAGCTAAATAACAGATTGACTTGCAAAATGAAGACTATCACCCACGAGTACTGTGCTCCTTTAAAACAGTACCTTTGAGACCAGTGGCCAACCGTGACTTTAAAACAAAGGTGGGCAGGGAAGCTAGGTTCGTAAAGGCAACAGAGTAGCCAGAGTGGGCACAGGGACACTGTCCCCCCCTGTGAAGCCTGTTACCAGTGTCCTGAGCAAGTGGTGTAGAAGTTGTTAGGTGAAAACCGGAACTGCTATGTAAACCTTCACCAAAAACATAGGAAGGTTTTTTGTTTTTTTTTTTAATTTTATTGTGATTTGGGTGAAAGTTTACAAAGCAAATTCATCTTCCATATAGCAGCTCACATACACTTTGTCTCATGACATTGACTACAGCTCTCTTCCCACTTCCTCCGCATAGCCTCCTCTTTCCTGTGTCCTTCCCTCCATGCACTCCTGCCCCTCGAGCTGTCTCCCTGTGCATACACAGCCCTTCTGTTCTCCCATGATTGATCTCTCCAAGGAGTATATCTGTCTGATGTAAATGTTCAGCTCATCTGCCTGTCTTTTGTTTGGCTGGAAGCCACGGGAGTGTGTTCAATTCCAGACCTGAAGGCAGCTAGGGGCCATAGTCTTAGGGGTTCCAGCAGGCTCTGTAAGACCAGCAAACCTGGTCCCTTTTGAGGTTTTTAAATTAAAAAAAGAAAACTGACATAACAGGACTGGGAATCAGGCTGCAGTGGTTGTCAGGGTCCGCCTCCCCTGGCCGAAGGGTGTGGTGCTCACGGGGTCAAGGAGCTCCCCAATGGCACCTCCCTCAGGCTGTGTGGGTGACGCTGCACACACCACCTGGTCATTGATGCGGAAATGCGTGCATTGAATTTTTTTTTTTTTAAACACCCTGAGACTTTTGTTTCTCACCTGGCAACAATGATACTTTATTCTCACACCAGAGACAGTTGAGAAGTAGACCAGGACCTGTGTTTCCATGTCCATAACCGGCTTGCCTAGCCTGGGGCATGGGCACGAGGTTAAGTGTCTCTTTCCCCAGGATGATGCACGCACTTGATTGTAGCATTTCAGCTCTTCCTTGCTCTTGGCAGAAGGTGTGGATCTGTAACATACAGAACGTGTGGGAAGTTCGATAGGTCAGCTCTGAGGCAGGGCCTTGGGCCTGTGCTCCGAGAGGAACAAACACAGGCCCATCCTGCCAGTGCTCTCTTTTCCAGCTATCCTCGGTAGTTTCGGCATTAAAATGCCCTGCTGGAAGGAGCTCTGACAGTTTACTCACCTGGCATCAAGCCCAGGATGAATGGCATCTAGTTGTATTACTTTCTCTGACCACTGTCAATGGTTTCTCTGTTCGTCCAGGTCTAAAGCAGGCCTTGGAGACTGTGAATGACTACAACCCTCTAATGAAGGACTTTCCTCTGAACGATCTCCTGTCTGCCACGGAGCTGGACAAAATCAGGCAGGCCCTTGTCGCCATTTTCACCCATTTGCGAAAGATCCGAAACACAAAGTACCCCATTCAGAGGGCGCTGCGTTTGGTGGAGGCGATTTCAAGAGACCTGAGTTCTCAGTTACTCAAGGTGCTGGGAACTCGGAAACTGATGCATGTCGCTTATGAGGAATTTGAAAAGGTGAGTTTTTGTATGTCTGAGACCTAGTCTCAGGCCACTGGGTGAACACAGCTTTCTTTAATCACACGTGCCCTCCGTCCACCCCGCCCTAGGTCATGGTGGCGTGCTTTGAAGTTTTCCAGACCTGGGATGACGAGTATGAGAAACTGCAGGTGCTGCTGAGGGACATCGTGAAGAGAAAGAGGGAGGAGAACCTGAAGATGGTGTGGCGGATCAACCCTGCCCACCGGAAGCTCCAGGCGCGCCTGGACCAGATGCGGAAGTTCAGGCGCCAGCACGAGCAGCTGCGAGCTGTGATCGTCCGGGTCCTCAGGCCGCAGGTATGGTCTGCAGATCAGCGTTTGCAGGTGCATGGATTCAGGGGCTTTAATTTTTCAGAGCAAGAGCTCCTTGTTTCTAGTCTGTACCGCTATGTTCTTTAATTCCGTTTGCACATTGTCGCTCTCCTCTTTGAGCGTAGCAGTCCTGTGTGGTGATTGTCTCAGTCTGAACACCTGTGCCTGATCCTTCATGTTCTCCATCCATCGTTCTCCCTTTCACCGGCTGGCGTGGACCTTGAGCCAGGCTTCCTGGGTTTTCAGGCCCAGTTCCACCACTTAACCAGCTATATAATTTGGTTTCATCATTTAACTTGCCCAGATCTGTCTTGTGGAAGATATGGATAATAAGATTGATTGGAAGAATTAAATGACTCCTTTTATTTTACATGCTTTTTTCCCTTCTGAGTTCGCCTTTCTCTCCTCTACGGTTCTCTTCCTCCTTTTAAAAAATCCAGTCCAGAAAGGGAAGATGGATTGAACTGTAGACGGAGGAATGGAGAAACGGATAGACACATGGTAGAGCAAATACAGCACACTGGGAAACGGCTAAGTGTTCATTACAGCGG